ATTTAGCTTAGTATACATCTGTAAGTATGATATTAGAGATTAAGTTTTGGTAAACAGTAAAACTTAACTTTGGCATCACAGAATGAGGGTTTCTTAAATAATGTGTTGTTAATTTTTGGATCTCTGTTATTTCAAGCTTAGTAACTTTGCAAAGTAATCAGTAGTAAGTTGCACATTTAAAATAGTTTAAGAAAACAAACAGTTCCCATTTCCTTTTTATAAACTTGTTGACTGCAGGCTAGCTTGAAGAGAAACAAAATATGTTGTGAGCTTTTTATTCAGTTGCTAGAAACACGATTATGTCACTCATTAAGATAGAGAAATTGTCATATTGTATGGACCTCTTCACATCTTGTTTTCTCACAATATTAGTAGTAGTAAAGATAAGAAAACTTAAGATGGCTTTTAGTTATATATTTAAAGTACTTATCTTTCTAGTAGAAAGTGTAGCCAATGGGTGTGCTTTATGGCCACCAAGTTTGTTTATTGCATTGATAAAAGATTTAATAGAAGTGCTCACCTTTTGAATATTTTCTTTGTACATGATACTTACAATCTAGGTTAAATAATGATGTATGTAATTCACTTTTAAGTTTAATAAACGAAAAGCATTTTAGATAAAGAGAATTTTAAAAAAGTCTGAATTGCAATTATATTAGAACTTCAACAAAGATAACTTAACTGCAGGCAAGAACCACTTATACATACACAGAAAGATGGGTTTTTCTAGACATACCTTGCAACATTAACAAGATTAACCATTTTACAAAAGCTTACACTGTAACAGTGATGCAGTTTAACTAAAACTAATTGAAGTAATTTAGCAATAACATCACATTGTGTACAATTTGGAATAAAGAAAGATTATAACTAGATACTTGTTTTTGTAATCTTTAGATATTCCACCAACTCTAGACCCAAGTGAAAATCTTGTCAATGGAGAACGTAAGTCTTGCTATACATTTTTTATTTTCTTACAATTGTAAAATTCTTTGCATATCAATATGTTGAAAGATTTAACAGATATTTTAATTAATATTGTGTAGAATAATGGTAAAAAAATATATATATTGTACTTGTTTTCTGTGTATATACACAAGTACATATTGCTGAACTCTGTCTTGTGTACAAGATTGTTTCATACACTGTTTACGTACCTCATCAACTATTTGAACTGTCAACTTAATGGAGTTTTTCATTTTGTGTGGTATTTCCTGGTAACAGTTTTTCCCTAAAGCAGTCAGTTAGGCCTGCAAGCAAGAGGATAAGAGAGAACTGAACTTTGAAATGAAATATAACAGTCTCTCCAATCTATAGAGGGAGTTGTCTGGGAAAAAGACTTGACATTGGAAGCTTGACAATTACAAAAATATTATCAGAATATAACAACAGCAAAGGGCAAGTGTTAACTGATACATTTCAAAGAGCAAAATGAAGACTTGTTTAAAAGCTGTTACCAGTTTGGTATGTCCCCTTGTAAGCTACACGTGTTACGTTTAAACAAAATGCAAGGATCAAGTTTAAACTGCCATTCAAATGTAAGCTAAACTACATTTTAAAATCCAAATGCTTAAACCATTCTCTCTAAAATTTAACTACCTCACTATGGACTCTGTCAAATCAGCCAAGTTCACGACCGAAAATTGACTTATAGTTTCCATACTATAACTTCTAATATTTTTTGTGAATCTTCACATTTTGTAGGGTTTCAGTAAACATTAAGAGTCACTTGAGACCAAAAAACAGAATTTTTACTGAAATATTTTCACTATAAAATTTCTCCATGTATATACGGAGTCAAAGTGTTGACCACTCTAAGTGCAGTGATTTTCACGTTAAGATTAAAACTACTTTTCTTCATCTGAGAAATCTCAAATACCTCTTAAATTTCAAATGTTTTTTTTTTCAATAAAACTTCCTATTTTAATCTGTTATTTTCTCTACACTAACTCTATACAAGGTTGGTCAATTTGACTGACCTCGTAACCACCAAAAAAATTTTAAATAAAACTAAATTACCCCTTTTTTCTTTCTAGAATGAGTTCTACTTTTCACACGAAACTACATTTGTTTATCCTAAATAGATTTAAATTTGTAACAGTATACATCTTTTTAGGATGTAATTTTTTTTATTGCCCTTTGAACCATGTCTTACTAACATTCATGCCATACAAGTTGTAAGTCACTTGGCAAACGTGCTGCTCATATTATCATATCGCATTACCTAATGCACAAGCTACTCCCCAGCATACATACTGAACATTTGTGTTATTTTACCTTATCTAACCTGAAAAGTTTCCAATTTTTCCCTTTAATTACTTTAGTTACTGGGTCCTTTTTTTTTACCGTCAACTATCAATGACACTTAACCCTACTATTTTTTTTATATATATATATACTAATTGTATTACAGCACTAAATTTATTTAATTAAATAATGCACCAAACAACACACTAATAACCTGCAAAATGCAGACAATGTCCCATAACTATTACAATTCTTCTGGCTTTCCCACTGTGTAACAAGAGTCATTAAAAATTCAGCTAAGCTCATCGATGTGTTTCTCGTGGGAATAGAGTTTGAAATGGAAGTGAAATAGACAATTCTCTGTACAGATAATAATGTAGTATAATACATCATTTGATAGATTAAATCCTTAGCTTTCTATTGGTTATAAATAATGTAGTATTAAACATCAGAAAGAACTACTGGACAATTTTTGAAAGAGAGGATGTGACAGGTGGGTGGCAAGAGTGGTCTGATTTTCTAGTTCATGGCTCTGTAACTAAATACAGTTGAAGGCTATAAAAATTATCCTTTGCCCAAGTGATAATAACATTATAATAAGTAATTTATGTTAAATTTCGTATTTCTCAGAGAGGTAGTAAATAAATTAGAGAAGAGGGAATACCTGGAGAACAAATGTCATACTAAGGAAAAAAACAAATTTTTTTAAATATTGCCTTATAAAATTAATAACTTAAAACTTATATATAATTAAAACATAGATTATTAGCTACATTTCTAAACCAAATTTATTCATATATCATGAAAAGAATGTGACGTGCAAAGAAAAAGATGCCAATAGTGAAAGTGTTAAACTCAAGTTAAAATACAAAACTACCCACTTTAGTTAACAGAAGATCCTCTAAGTTAAAAGACAAGTAAGCGAAAAGAAAGTTTAAAAATCCTCTCTGTTACAGGGGCAAACCTGGCTTTAAGTACCAAAATAAAGTTTTCACACACAATGTGCCTTCCATATATAATCTGTGTTCACTGACAGTTGAGCTCAAGGCCACAGCTGCACCTGACCCTTACCAACAGGAAAGATAACCATCTCGTACATGATGTCACATGCTATCTTCCCTGCACTAAAGTTGGTTAATAGCCAATTAGAGAATCTCTAGCTTCCACGCTTTCAAAAAGGGAAAGTTAAAAGTTACTTCAGTGAATCTCAGCATTCAGACCGAAAATTCTGAAAGAAAAAAAAACAATTTTGAAAAATGTACATGTGGACTAAGGAGGTAGCAGGAACGTAATACAGTTCTGAAACTAATTATGGAAACAGTGTTCAATAAAAAAAAAATGACAATGTGGATCACATGAAGATGAACTGCAACAAAGCACAGTTACACACTGTTATCTAACCAATCAGAAAGTTCCACACAAGCGTAAAGCATAAAATAATTTGCAGTCATATTATTCTATGTTTTCCTCTCGGGAACAAGATTAATTTTCTTGCCAGACAACGATCCCTAACTTACAAACATTTTTTTTTTTTTATTTATATATAGTAAAGAGACCAATGAAATCCTCAAAAGTATGACTTGGCCTGCTCAAAGTCCCAATTTGGACATTTGCGAGGCTTTATAAGCTTGTGCAAGAACTGAGGATATCAAGAAGCAACCAAATAACTTCCAGAGAGTAATGCAGAACATTTTAAACAATATTCCACAATCATACATTGAGAAAAGGAAGGTAACACAAAAACAAAGTGAAATTTTCCATTTAAATCAAAGGACACGCATATAAAATACTAGTAAATTGTACAACATATCTGCACTTCTAGCTACCAGTACTTGCTGCTTGTGACCTCTATAGGCATATCACTTGTTTATTTCCATTGTTATATAATGTGTACCACAGTGTTATAATGTTTACAGTCTGCTACATATTTTATGTGCACGATTCAAATACTCTGCTTTATACCGAGTAACTATTAGACATGTAAGAATCCATAAATTTGAATAGGAATAAAACCAATTTGTATTTGGTTGTTAGTTCTGTAGTAACTATAATTTGCTTCAAAGTTATATGTCGGGGTTGGATACAAGTCACGAGAAACTAGCTAGGACCCTTACAAGTGACTCCTTATTTTATGTCACTACTTCAGTTATTTTTTCCACAAAAAAGTAAATCAGTATTAAATGTTTGAATTATTTTATCGATTCAAGTAATTGTAGCAAAACAACTCAATTATGCTAACTGCTCTAATATTCCCTTTCGACTAGTTCAAATTAGTTTTAATCAAAGCTAATTTTACTGAATGAAAATAAGATTTCAATAAACCTCAATGTATAAAATATTACAAATCTTTGTTTTGTCCAGTATATAATTAAAAGCAATAACATTTTTTTAAACTTTTATTTACAGCACTAAAATTAAATTCCCCACAGTAGAGTGCAGACAGCTAATCATGTAGTTTTGTGCTAAAAAAAAAACTTTCAACATGAATTTTAATTTTTTTTATTTCTATACACTGCAGTTTTTTGCTTTTATATTGTTTTTATACTATATCAAAATAAAATTCCACTTTACCTTACATTCTGTGTAATATATTTGAAAGTATTCATGTCTATTTAACCCAATGTGCACAGGCTCACTCAGTTGGACCAACTCTGTATTGGAGAAGAAATGCTGACTATAATTTCAAATTTACTATGTATATCTACATAAAATGTAGCAAGCTTTTAGTAATATGTACAAGTCCAGTATTATAACCAGGGCACCTGCCACAGCCCAGAAGGGGATGCAAAGCTCCAGCTATTTTAACATATTTGAAAACTACATCTGATTATGATTTGGGAAATAATTCCCATACTTTTATTGTTTATTAATATAAACAGGATTGGTTATACTTTATGATTATCTAACGTTGTCAAACTTGCCCTGAATGCAAAAAATACCTAATTATGCCACTGTACAAGTCTGTTGTACACAAGAACATCAGATAAGTTACAAAGATATCTGTACTGAGACTAACAAGTCTGAGTGCAAGGTGCTGTTCATATGAAGAACAAAGATAATTTTGTCCATGATATAGTTTGTATAACCTTTAGGATCTCCAAAATATATTGTATCTGGTATTTACTTTCCTCTATCAGGAACTGTCATTAAATCAGCAACGTACGGTCAAATGAATAGTTGGTAACTCTGACATCTAACACGTAATACCATGATACTCTGTAAAAGGTTTGACCCCTACCTGTGCCAATAAGGTCAAAGCTACACTAGATGTTTTAACTTTACTGACATGAAGTTCTACATTATAGTCCATTAATTGCACGTAAAACTAGTACCTTATTGAAAGCCCTGCTCAATCAAATATGTTAATTCTAGAACTTCTTTTTAATGCTTTTTGTGTTAATAATGAACAAAAAAAATCACCCTATTTATCACTTTGTTCCTGAACTTTAACCATACTTTTATTTTTTTAGTTTCAGATAGCCAGATTGATTCTGACCGGTCAAAAACAGTAGGTCAGTATTTTGTTACCTCTGTGGTAGTGTATAACTAACAGTTTCTACATAATAATTCATAAATTTATTCTTATCATACGTCACTAGATGAATATACCACTAATATTGCTTTGTATAGTCTTATTATGTCACTGTTTGTAACTATTTTGGAAACAGGAAGAACAACAATGGTGTGATTGTAATCTTCTGAAATAATGAATCTTTCATGAAATGAAGAAACTGAGACATTGACTTGATAAAGTGTTTATTCAATATCAACAAATCTCAAACTGGCACCAACGTCTACGTACCATTTGTTTAAATATACTTCAAGTCACGTAGTCACTCGGTTATTACCAGCTACTGTTAGACAACGTAGGAGTCGACGTAGTCACTCGGTTATTACCAGCTACTGTTAGACAACGTAGGAGTCGACGTAGTCACTCGGTTATTACCACTACTGTTAGACAACGTAGGAGTCGACGTAATCACTCGGTTATTACCAGCTACTGTTAGACAACGTAGGAGTCGACGTAGTCACTCGGTTATTACCAGCTACTGTTAGACAACGTAGGAGTCGACGTAGTCACTCGGTTATTACCAGCTACTGTTAGTCAACGTAGTCACTCGGTTATTACCAACTACTGTTAGACAACGTAGGAGTCGACGTAGCCACTCGGTTATTACCAGCTACTGTTAGACAACGTAGGAGTCGACGTAGTAACTCGGTTATTACCAGCTACTGTTAGACAACGTAGGAGTCGACGTAATCACTCGGTTATTACCAGCTACTGTTAGACAACGTAGGAGGCGATGTAGTCGATACTTGGAGAACTTCAACAAAAGAAACAAGTTTCAGAATTATGGATATATTTATATGTATGATTAATACGTGTAAGATAAGAAACAGGATCAACATTGTACAATAGTTTGTTTATACGAAAGTAATGTACTCCTCTAATTTCTTCAATTTGTGCATTATTCTTTTTACAAATCGTCAAATCACTGAACTTCAGATTATTATTATTACACGTCTTGGCAAGTAGTCTGCAACTCTAGTGTTAAAAGTGGGAATTATTTGTTGTGTAATGCTTCCTTACAAAACAATTAACTTTGATACATGGTACATAGTCCTAGTAACAAGAGTAGTAAATGTTTAATGTCAATCACTGAAATATTTATATAAATAGAAATATAATTACATGTTAAGAAACATTTACTTTTTTATATTAAAGAAACCAAATTTTTTTTTTGCTATTCCCTTTTTCTTTTTAATAGGGATTGCTGTGGCTGTTGGCATTGGTGCTTTTTTAGTGCTGGTTGTAATTATTGTTGTCGTTTGTATCAAAACGTAAGTATCAGTATCAAACTAAGAAATGAATATATATATGAAAAATAAATTTAATTGCTAATATTCAAATAGACATTCTTCTATAAGATTGTCTCCACACATTTAAATTTCAAATAAAACCTGTATAATCATTTTCATATTTAAGAATTAATATTAATTATGATTCATACACACAAATATAAATTTAACAGAAAAGTTTTGTTTCTTAGCTCATGAGGTGAAATTGTTAAATCAACAACATCTATCATTTGTTCTAAAAATTTGATCAGGTATGGCTTAGTGGTCAGTATGCCTAGACTGTGAATCAGAGTGACATCTTGCTATCACTAATACACAAACTACAACTTTGGGGGGCCATGAGTGCATTATAAGAGGGATGGTCAAATCCAACCATTCTGACAAGAGTAGCCCAAAAGCTGGTGGTAGGTTCTTGTAACATTGCCCTTTTTACTGTCAGCTCAAAATTATGTATTGTTATGTGCACATAGCTTGAGTAGTTCTGGCAAAATACCTTAAAAACAAAACAAAAAAAACTTAATTTTGATTCAAAATAAGTTTTATACCCTCATTTAAGTGACAAATTATCTCCTTAAATAGTGTAAAAAATAAAAGAGAAGGTAGGCTAATACTGAGAAATATGTCCACAAATATTATAAAAACAAAATTAACTAAATTTCAGGAGATACTCAAGGTGGACGATTCTTGAATGCTTAGGCTAAAATTCTAAGGAGAATTAAATATATTATATTATCTAATTGGGCAGTTTGGCTTCATTAATGGTATTAAGTTCTTATCACAATATTGTTTTGGTGTTTGTTGTCACAGTTGAGGTGAGAATAAGTGGTACATTAAATTAAAATAAATTTTCATTAGGCTTAATAACTGTGATGAAAATTATATTTGTTAGACATACATAATAAGCTTCGTTGCTTTGCCAGACTAGCCACTTTACATACATAATAAGCTTCGTTGCTTTGCCAGACTAGCCACTTTACATACATAATAAGCTTCGTTGCTTTGCCAGACTAGCCACTTTACATACATAATAAGCTTCGTTGCTTTGCCAGACTAGCCACTTTACATACATAATAAGCTTCGTTG